ATTTGGTTCTAAATCCGATGTCATGTGACCTTTTAAGAAGCAAGGGGAAAGGAGCCAGAGAGATGGCTCAGTAGTTAAGAGAACTGGCTGCTCTTCCAGAGGACCTGGGTTCAATTCCCAGCACCCACATGGCAGCTCACAACTGTCTGTACCTCCTGTTCCAGGGAATCTGACCCAGACATACATGCAGGCAAAACACCAATGTACATAAAATAAAAATAAATAATTAAAAAGAAGGAAGAAGCAGAGGGAAAGACAGAGAAGAGAAGACTGGGCAAAGAGAAGAGCAGGGGAGAGGTGCAGCCCTGGAATGCCTGGAGCTAGCAGGGACTGGGGGAGGAGGCAGGAAGGACCTTCCTTTTGGTCCTTCAATGGAAGAGCCATCTCATGTCACTTTAATGCTGGAACTTGTAGCCTCCAATCTGGGGAGGATAAATTCTCATTGTTTAATCACTGAATTTGTGGCCCATATGCTGTGTCGGCCACAGAAAACCAGCACTGTTGACAAAGGCGGTAATAGTGACCAGTCACTGAGGACATCCATGCCTCATGCTTCTGTGTCCTGGATACCCACGAGAACAGTTATCACTCTCGCTGTGCACACGGGAAGACTGAGGCTTTAAGAGGTTAAGCTGCTTGCCAACAGTCCTAGAGTGTATGCAGTCATCAGCTTGTGCCAGCTTGTGCCAACTTGTGCCAGCTTGTGGCCAGTCTGTGGCCAGGTTGTGGCCAGTCTGTGGCCAGGTTGTGGCCGTGCTCCTCCTCAGCAGCTGCCAACTTGTGTCTTTCAAAGCCGCTGCCATTTAACATCACTATGAAGTGAGTGCACAAATAACCACTCTGTAAAGTCCCAAGGACGCCATTTAATGCACCTGTGTGCAGCCCCAGCTTCATTAGCATGAGGGAGAACTTCAAAACCTCAGCAGCCCAGAGAAGGGATATTTGATCATTGAGACGAAGACCCACAGCATATTATTTTTCCTTGTAATCAGAAAAAGTGTCCATAGGGGACCAACAGGATCTTCAGAATAGGGGTGACCTCTTTGAGCAACAGTCATGAAGCAGTTTGGAAAACCAGGTCCTATAAAACTGTGGTTTTGGATGACAAAGGTGGTGCCAGCTTAAGTGGTAAGTGATTCTCTGAAGGGCTGATTAAGTATTTGGGGGCAAGGTCGACACATAACACATCAAGGTCACGCACTGTTTCAGGGACCATGGTGCTGCCCCTGGGCCTATTCCTAAGGTGGCAGGTTGTATTAGCCACCCCGTGCTCAAGAGATGAGAGGCCCAGATGGGAAAGATGGAAAGGCCAGCCCCTCCCCACTCATTCCCCGTTAGGGTATGCTCACATGCTCAGTATTCTAATTGGCTTTCTTTTCTCCCTATTTTTTAAAGGTAAGGTACCCCCCAAAGATGACTTAGTAAGGTACCCAATACAGGGCCTGACGCTATTGCCATTGACACTGACATCAACATCTAATCACAATGGGACACACTCAGTCCAGGTCTTCTACACCTCTGCGCACCTGTCAGTCCTGCAGCGAGCGAACGGAGCAAGCGAGCGCATTAGTCCTGCAGCCAGGAGTGCAGGAATAGCCTTCCACAGCACCTTGCTCCGCACTACCTTAGTGTATGCAACCTTCAGAGGGGTCCGGATTTGAGCTCATCACTTACGGTGTCTATAAATGACACCACAGGACTGCTGAGAGGAAAGAACAGCACAGACGGGGAAGTCTGAGCTAGGCCCAGACACATCACAGTCAATCCAAGGAAAGTTAAGCTTTATTGTAAGAGGCTTAGCATGCTGGCAGCTAACTTATGCGGTTAGAAGGGTTTCTGCCTTGGTATTTTTACATGGTATCCTCATCTCCCCAGAAAGGTGGAAGCCATGCCACCTTCATGATGGTAAACCAGAATCCAACACTTCGGATGACTCAACCTGGCTTGCCTAGAGCCATTCTTGAGAGGGAGGTATGAGGGGGCAGGCATCATTACCCCAGAACTCTGTAATCCGTCCCATCCCCTGCTGTAAAAGGAACGGAGAAAAGGCCTGAAACCTGGCAGGAGACAGTGTCCTGACTTGCGTAAACACGCAGTCGTGACAAAATGGCTCTCTGTTCCACTTTTAGACCTGCTTGAATAGGAAGTTGAAATTAACCTCAGCTCTTTTAAAATTAAAACCACAACAAATAAACAGTGGTTTGGTGGCATGGCAACCTGCCCCCTCTCCGTACACATCCCATTGCGGATCATTGGAGATGTCTATTTGGTAAGATAAGGAAAGGTGATATTCTCTACCCATGATCCTCTGCTGGCAGAGCTGAGGGGTGGGGGTGGGGTGGCTCTAGCCTGGCAAATCCTTGCTTCTCCATAGACCCCTGGCAGTCACTGAGGAAATCCTGCCCTGATCACTTCTGGGGTCATTTTCCTAAAACGGCGATTGTCATTTCAGAGAGCCATGAACCTATGCTCTGTTGCTTAAATAGACAGAGGCGATATAGGGCTGAGCCTGGGCACTAACTGTCTTTAATGCCAGGAGCAAAGTAAAGGACTTGGCTGCTACACTATCCCTGTTAATATTTGAATTTCAAGAGGGGGAAAACATTCAAGGGTCTACTCAAAACTAGACTTGTATAAAATAGCATTTTCTTATAGGAAAAAAGAGAGAGGAGGGGAAGGGGAAGGAGGAAGGGAAGAGGAGAGAAACAGAAGGCTGGGGGAGGGGGTTTATGTGGTGGAAAAAACACAGGGAAGCGAAGGCAGTTTTACATGCTATGTCCTGAACACAGTTCTGGAACTGTGTGTCTGCCACAGGGCAAGTAAATCCCTGCATATCAAATTCATATACCGGGGAGAAAGGCATCCACAATACAGCCCACACATTTTTTGAGAGTGGCATCAGGCCCCCAGGACACTCTGAGATAAAGTTATGACACAGAGAACCACAGACTCCCACCACCTGTCCATGGCGATGCCTCCAGTGCCCGAGTGGGCGGTCCCACAGGCTCAGGATATGGAGCACCTGCCACCCTCAACTTTCTCTAGGGAGTGGGCATGTAAGATGCTTAGTGAAAGGGGAGAGACTCACAAAGCAGGCAGAGGGGACAATCGGAATCTGCTCCCACATGACTGGGGTTTGCATTGACTTTAAAAACCCTTTCTAGTTTGGGTTTGGCTTTCAGCAAGCAAAAGGCAAATCTTGCTCCCAGCTCACGAGTGGTGGGTGCAGACACCAGAGGCTGAGAGAGCAGAGCCTTCTTCTTGGGTTTGCACATGCACTCCCAGAGAAGACAGGCGTGAGCCTAAATGATGGTAAACATAAGACAGAAGAATCTCCTAGGAAATTTTATTCTCCTTATTCCCAAGACTATCTATCTCACTAATTTCCCCAATTCACAGAAATGTATTGTGGGCTTGTTGGGAAATTAGTGTGAATATTTTGAGTGACTAGTCATTACTATTAAACACCAAGAAACCAAGGATTTTTGTGGGACCTTTTCCAAAAAGATAGCCTAATTTTTTTGTCCCATTCATACAGAAGAGAGGTACAGGGTCTCACATATCTCAAGTTGGTCTCAAACTAGCTATGTAGCCAAGGCTGGCCTTGGACTCTTCATTCTGTTGCCTATACCTCCCAAGTTCTATCAGAGCCAGCCTGTACAACCTTCCATTCTTGGGGACATAGACTTTCTATTTTACACTCTGTACAGTGTAAGCTTCTGTGAGCCCTGGATGTGTTTCTTTCCAAAGAGAGCAATTTGCTCAGAAACCCTCTAAATAGATGTGGCCTGCATGTTCCATGCAGAGCACAGAGGAAGCTAATCTTCACTTTCTGTAAAAGGCCATCCTGCTGCCAGCCCTCTGCTCCTTTCTCCAGGTGGGCTGATTCCTTGGGCTGAATAAGCCTGCACCTCTGCGTAATTAGTATGACTGGAAGTGTGTTATATGCAGCTGGGTCTCATCTGGCACAGAGAAAAACTGCCTTTCAGTTATTACAACGGTATCACTGAGCAAACAGCCTCCGACATCAGCGGCCCTACTGCATAAATGCACCGAGTATTATCTAACTTGGCACAGAGGCTCTGTGCAGTTTGCTACTGCATCTCACAGTGCTTTTGCAGTTGGTGACTGCCCCACGGCATGATGGAACTCGGTCCTGATCTGAAAATACTCTGCTCGACATGGCCACAAACACACATGCCTTCTTTTCCTTCATGTTTTGAAAAAGATCAAATATTAGATGCAAACTCCACACATAATCTGAAGGCAACAAGAACTTGAAAACTCCTCACTTTTACCTTCCCAGATGCGTATATGTGTGTGTTTATACATGCATACGTACATATATGCGTATGTACATACATACATTTGTGTGTATGGCTTCAGGACTAATTGGTAAGTAAGAAAACAACACAGTAGAAACTAACTCTTAAGAAACCCCTCATCTGTTTATATACAGGTGGCTCATTGTATCTGCAGGCTCTACAGCTAAAGATGAAACCAATGGGGGGGTGACTGTACAGTTTTTTTTAAATGTACACATACTGGAAAACATATTTTTGTTTCGAATCCCTAGATAATATAGTTTAGTGATTGTTAACATAGCATCTATAGTATACTGGACACTAGCAGTAATGAGGAACTAACTGGCGCCTCCAGGAGGGAATACACAGGCTTACGCACTAGGACACAGTATATAAGGGGCTGGGTCGCCTGTGGATTGGGTACCTGGAATTGATACTCCACAGGTATCAAGGGATACATGTGTGTACCCAATTACATATATGTGCATAACCATGCCTCAGCAGCCACACTTCTCAGGCTAGAGATGCTCAACAGGTGAAACACGGGGTCTCTGCTTGTCTAACATGCTCCCAATGGATGCCCTGGCTTCCAGGAGCTCCCTTGGAGCACCCAGGGGAAGCTCTGGCAGCCTGGGTGGGCTCTGTGCCTGGGACTTCCGCAAGGACAGAGGGCAGTGGGCTCCATGGGGTACTTACCCTGCATCTGACTCTGAGGCTGAGGGTTAAAGGCAGTGGAGTGGTTCAAGGAGGCCCGAGGGTTGGGCGTGGGGGCTGGGTGGTGCGGGCTGACCCTCATGGCCGTGCGCCGCAGCTGCTCCAGTTCACTGAGCCGCTCGGAAAAGGACAAACTCCCCGGCTTGGTCTCATCTAGTTTCTGCCGATGTCCTATTGTAGGGACCAGAGGGGAAGGGAAGAGGAGGAGGAGAGGGAGGCAGGGAAGGAAGGAGGGAGGGAGGGAAGAGATCAGAAAACGCATTGTGGAGGGGGCTTTTCTTATCTTTTCCCTCCCTCTCCCTTCACCCCCAAGGTGAGCTTATTGGAAATTGTCCCTTGGGCTGGCGACCTATGGGACCAGGGCCATTCTTTTTATAGCAGCCCGAGGCTCACTCATCACACTGGCCACTGGGTGTTCCCTTAGTCTGGGACTCGGTATACACCCAGCTCTCTGCACACACCTCAGGTGGGCAGAGAGAGAGATACTAGGGAATACAGTGGATGATAACGTTGGCCACATGCTGAGAGCTGAACCATGGCAGCCAAAGGAAGGTGGCCTCCTCTGGGGTCATGAATGCCCTGACTTCTTGCAAACCTGACCAGAAGCTGGTCTGAGAGGGACCAGAGTGGGCCCTGGAACTCAGCAGCATGCCCCTTCAACAGGAAATCAGGTACAGCTGCAAACCCACTGCCTAGGCGTGAGGCTTCCTGTAACACGCAGGCAGGCTCAGGGCAGCTCTGTCAGGCCCTATACACCCAGGCCCTTCCTCTTTCACAGGGGCTTCTCAGGAGCATCCTTTCTTCTCTGAAGCTTGCTCCCTGGACATATCCCTAAGAGGGAATAGGCAGAAAGGCACAGCCTAGGCCTGTTCCAATATTCCTAGTAGGCCAGCCCCTGGGATCCCAGAGGGCTTGGCCAGCTGGCTGCTACACTTCCCCAGGGACTGAGGAGTGAAAATAAGGCTGAGGAATGGCTGTATGGTCAGTAGATGTCCCTTTTACTAGGAAACAGCTAGCAGGGGCATTCACATGGTCCAGTCAGCAGGGCCAGGCCTCCAGGTTCTCCTTGTCATCCCTTCCAAATTGTCATAGGAACACAGTCACAGAGGACTTGGGAGATCCATTCATCTTTCTAAGAGACCAGCTCACCCTTAAGGTTTGTTTGAGTAGAACCCTTGACTGAGCCACAACTCTCCCATCAGTGGTCACACAAACTCAGAAGACAGGAGAAGCCGCTGCCATCTGCCCATAGAAAATGCTGTTTCCGTGCCCCATCCCAACCTGAAGCTAGACAGAGGGCCCTGGATACCATTCCCCCAGCACAGGGTAGGAGCCAGGCTACGAATGGTCACCCGCCCCGACCCCCCAGTTCCCAATTGCTACAATTATAAAATCAAGTTGTAGAAGCTGTGTTATGGTTTCAAATCCCCGTGGCTTGCCTTCTCTTCCTGCTATGGGCCCCCTTGGCACCGCTGACACTGTCTCAAATTCCAGGCCAGAAAAAGGGCCTACTATATTGCGGTGATTTTTATCACTAACAAGACCTGTTTGGCTCCAAATGCAGGAAAAAGCTTCAGCATAATATTTGTGTAGCTCACACGCAATGTTCCCCCTTTCCACGCATCACCAAGGCAAATCTGGACTGTCATTCAGAACTGCAGCTCACAACACTCAACTCTAACACAAACACCCTGAGTCACGCAGGCTCAGCCGGCACACATGTGAGAGGCCTCTCAGAGCCTGAGTATTTTAAGGTCTATGGACAAAAGAGGCCAAGTCCCCGAGCCACCTCCTTCTTCCTTGTACCACCAGAAGTACAAAAACTTCTTTTTCTAGAACCTTCTACCCCGCTCAGCCATGGTACATGTAATTCGGTGTGTAGGCTTCTTTGGCTTTTCCCTTCCCTTACCATGTGACAGAGTTGTGTGTGTGTGTGTGTGTGTCCTGCTCCTCACCACACTGTGAATCATCGAGTTTTCCCACAGAAAACAATCCCAGCTCTAAAGTCATTGAAAGCGTGGTGCGGTCCCTTTTACGTGCCTACCACAGTCTCATGCCAGTGAAGGAAAGAGGACGGCAGAGACATGACTCTGGAGAGCTGTGTGGCCTAAGAAAGAATGTGGGCCAACAAGGGCTGCCAGCAGGGTTTGTCCGTGTCTCAGCTTCACATTCCTAAGGCACCCAGTGGCAGTTTTTGAAGAACACTGTGAAGGACAGTGCGTGTCTGTGCGTGTGTGTGTTTGTGTGTGTGTGTGTGTGTGTGTGTGTGTCTGTGAGTGTGTGAGTGTGTGTGTCTGTGAGGTGTGTGTGCGTGCGTCTGTGTGTGTGTGTGTGTGTCTGTGAGTGTGTGTGTGTGCGTGTGTGTCTGTGAGTGTGTGTGTGTGCGCGAGCGCGCGCGCATGTGTGTGATGATTCTGAATACAGAGCATTTGGTGTGCTGGTGTCTCTGGCCAGCCTTTGACAGGTGGCTACCGGAGTACCAGCCTCTGTAAACTTGGGGACATGGTCACCGAGAACCCAGACAGGAATAAGCCATTTGGGGCAAGCCACTATGTGGCCAAAGCATGTGACATTATTTATTTTTATTTCTCTCCCCTCATTACTCGATGGTTTAAAAAAAGTTCTAATATGTGAGCTGTTTTCGTCCAAGCTGACACCTGCCAAAATTGTAGTCATTTACAGAGATTAACTGATGACTGTCTGCCTCTGCAGGAATGCTCGGGCATATCGGGCATAGCTCTGGAGCTTCTGCCTAAGCCCTGAGGTTCTCCGGCTGGGTTTAATGCTTGGGGCTGGGGAATAGCTCATGCCACACTCTCCCCATGTGCACTCTGAGAGTATGTAAGAGAGCTGCTGCCTGTGAGGAAACTTGACCCCCATGTTCACAGGGTGTTAGAGAGTTACAACACCAGGACACTCATGAAATGAAAGGCATTATCAAGTCTAAGGTGTGGTCCTGATGCTTTTAGAATCGAGAGGGCCAGGAGCACCTATTCTCTCCTGAAACCATCAGGCTTTGTGTGCCAAGCAGCAATATTTCCATGGAATATAGGAGCTTCCGATAGAGACGTTCAGGCTAGGGGAGAAAGAATGCTTTATATCTCCACTTTCCTGGATCTGCATGCTATTAAAATATCAATTTGCCCCCTGAATTTTAAATACAGAAGCATGGAAAATGCCCACTATGAAATCCACTCTCCACTCTTACTGATTACTGGGCCCTGGAGGGTAACAGGGAATTCAATACTGGATCAAACCACTGTAGGACTGTGCAGACCTAAACCCATGCGTGCTGGTAGCCTGGACTTTTGAGTTCACTGGGAGTCAATTGTGAAGGTTTGCAGAGTGGGGTTTTAAGCAGTGGATACCTCAAGACCATGTATGGGTGCAACTTACTGATACACAGAGCTGAAAGGCACCCACAAATCTTCTATTAACATTTTTACATTTTGGGGAGAAAATTCTCCTGAAAGTGTTATTATACATGTAGAGTCATAGAAAACAACAAAAATGGGAAAAGCAATGCATAGTACAGCAAGCAGCGCCATTCAGTGGCGCTCGTTTCATCCTAAACAGATCTCTGTAGTTCCCTGAGGTGGCCCCGAAGTCAGGGTATGTCTAAATGTTACCACATATAATGAATCCAATTCACCTCCCTTCTGTTAAAACTGAGTGGAATAAGCATGCATAGCTCGATAAATCTCAGCTGCCTTTCCCAGGACATCACTGTGGTCTGTGGCTGTAACTGGAAGACACCATCTGATCCTCTACCGAAGGCAACTAGGTGAAATTGCCACCTTTTTCTGGAAACGTTTGATTAGCCAGTCAATTCATTAGCTTGGGATTCTGATAGGAGTTTACCAGAGTCCTTGATGGACTGCATGGCACATATTTAAGGTCTTGCCATGGTTATCAGATGGAGAAGTCTATGTAAAATGACAACACTGAAGAGACGTTCTCTCTCTCTCTCTCTCTCTCTCTCTCTCTCTCTCTCTCTGTGTGTGTGTGTGTGTGTGTGTGTGTGTGTGTGTGTATTTATAAATTGTGGTTCTCCTAGTGAATTTTATACATTCACCTTTAAAATGACATCTGCATTTCAGAAAATATCTTTCAGTCAACTCAATGCCAGCTATAAGATCTGGGTGTAAAAGGCTTATCCTTCCTTGATTAGCCGCAGTTTTATGACTGGGGGCAAGGAAGTGAGGTGTGACGAACAGTTCACCTTCCTTGTGTCAAAGTTAGTCAGTGGCTAACTTCTAGGGTTTTAAAGTAATGGCACTTGGGTACTGCAGTGACCCTTCCTTGAGCTGTCTTGCATCTAGCCAGACAGACCTTCTGTCCAGCAAATCAGCCATCTTTCAGCTAATTCAATGTTAAGAAATACTGTCTAATAAGGCATATTGTCCAAATATTGCAAAGTACTAGGGATCTAGTTCAGTGAGAGAATACTTCCCAACATTCACAAGGCCCTGAGTTTTATCTCTAGCATTGTAAAAGGTGAAAGGAAGAAAAATTTCCAGTTTAGTAAACATTTAAATTAATAAAATTACACTTAGATTAATTCGCATACTATATATAAACTATGTAAAGATATTATCTAATGTATGCTAAGTACAGTCTAATGCATTTTTATATGTATGATTTTACAGATTGTCCAATGTTGCATGAACATAGGTAGTTTCATCACACACACACCCTTAATTTGCTATCATGTTATTATGCTAAGAGAACAGGACACAGTTGTTACACTGAAGAACTAGAAAGGGGTCAGAGAAATCTGTCATATATTTTAAATGACAGATGAGGTTAGAGTTCAGAGAGGTTATGTCCTTTAGCCTATCTCACACAGCCAGGTGGAGGTCGAGCACGGGTCCATAAACACCCCCAGTTTCCAATACTCCCAACTCACACCCATAGTGCCTAGAATTAGAATTTTTGATTTTGCTGATTCCATCCCTGCCCAAGTGAAGTAATACAAGTGACACACAGTCCAATTTAGTCTAGATCACAGGCCACCAGAGGCTTTGCACTTCTACCCTGTCTTTGTCCCACCTGCATCCCCAGTTTTCCCAAAGAATGAGGAGGGCCGGGGTAGTGTGGAGGTCTGCAGCCAGCTTCCAGCTCCCTACTTCTGGAGCAGGTATCAGAATCATCCCAAGGCTCTTGGCTAG